ACAACTTTATTCATAGAACAGTCTTGGTGAACTAGTTTTAGTGTCACCTTTTGTTGATCTGAAATAAATGTCCATCCATGTTCTTCGACTGGTCCAAGATCATCAATAAGTAACTGTAAAAACCATGACCATGTTTCTTTGTTTTCAATTTCAACTGCAGCATAGGCTATTGGAAACATATTATCATTAGCATCAATACCAACTGCTGCAAGTAGTTGACCTGTGACAATAACTAGAGAAACTAAGTATGGAGTCTCTGACCAACTTAAGTCATAATATAAAATGATGGAGTATAATAATTTACCTTCGTATGGTCCTTTGAGATGACAACCGTCTACCCCGATCACTGGTCTGCACCCTGCTTTGAATCCTTTCTTGCAAGCATCAAGACAAACATATAACCTCTTAAAGAATGGAGGATCTACACTCACTTTCATAGTACTTCCCACATTTGTTTGCCTTACTTCTTCACAATATTCCCAAATTTTAGCATATTGCTCATCATATGACCCTCTTAACACTTGTAGGGCTTCTGTCCTTGCTCTAAAACACTGACTAATCCCAACATCCAACTCCATGTCCCTTTTTATTACATCCTGTAAAGTTTTTGCAGTCATGCCCGGATGATCTTTAAATCGATTCAAATACTTCTCAGCAATGAACTTGTATGTCACATACTTATTTTTCCACACTCTACTGCATATATGTTTATCATTAAGAACTTTGATTTGCCAAGTGGTATCATTTTGCATTACACTTGCATGCAATCTCCAAGGACACCCTACTGCACAAACTGCAGTAACCCTACCCCTATCATTCTTCTTCATATCAATATCATAACCCCCATAAATCGAATACCTCTTGATGGCGGTTTTCAGGTGTTTAGCTTGTGCAAACCTCATCCTAATTTTGAAACTAGGTTTATCCATATCAGTTTCTGCATTAAACTCAGGATCTCTCTCAGTAGAATCTTCATCATCATCTGAATTATGAGGACTATGCAATTCCTCAGAGTTGTGCTCTTTCTCCTCAGGTAGCTCATTATCAATAATATTTTTAGGTGTAACAGTCCTCTCTACAACAGGTCTCGTGTTTGTCCTGACAGATGAGATGTCCACATACTTAGCAAACAACAAATCATCATCTTCCATAGCAGCATCATTTTCAGAATCATACAACTCATAGTCAGAATCATCACTATATGTTCCATGATTACACCGATAACCAATCTCCCCATCCTCTTGTAAAAAGGTTTCATATAGCCCTTCACTATTGACTTCATATTGCTCCCCACTTTCTTCTAAAACATTTCCATATACCCTTTTACCCTTATCTACATTAGGGTTAGGAATTTCAGTTGACCATAGGCTATTAAGAACTTCATCTTGTACCTGAGCATTGCTTTGAATGTGAGAGAACACTTTTTCTGGGACTTGACTGGACGCATCACCCATTATCTCATGAAAAAAATCATTAAAGTTTGGTTCTGGAACTAAAATTGGCTTGTCCGCATCATGCTCCACATAGATTGTCATTTCCCTTGAACTAGGGATAATGTTAATCATAGCTGATATGTCATTGTCACCATCTAGTGGATGCAAAGCACATTGAGAGTCCTCTCCTGGCTTGGTGAAATGAAATCTCTTCACATGTTTGTATCCAACTTCTTCCATCATATACTTGAGTTCATGAGTTGACAACAAGTCTGGATCTACATTATCAAAATATATCATCTGCCCTCCGCATATGAACTTGAGTGTAAACAAATCAGCCCCTGCAATTTGATAGCACATGTATCTCAACCTATGTAATACAAAAAAATCACTTATGCATTGCAGTACTGGCCAACTAGGGCCTACATCAAACCACACTACCAATTAAAGACAAAATTGAAAGACATATATGCATTTGAACAAGTACAAAGTGATACAAGAATGAAAATTCAAGTAAGACTAAGACTCTAACTCATGATCAAAGACGCGTTGGCATTGAAAAATAAACAATGGTTTATTAGAAGTATTAGGATTTTGAAACGAAATTAAATCATACCTAAGAAATTAGGTGCGACTTCACCTTCACCCCTTCTCCTAGCCATTGAAGTGGTTTTCCGAGTTTAGTTTCACTTGGGTTTTGGTTGGTCTGCAAATTTGAGGGGTGTGATGTGTTTTTCACAATGGATTTGGCTTGATCTGCAATACTAGGTTAATAGGATTTGAGGTGATGGTTAACGACGGTGGACGTCCACCAATGGCTATGGTGGTGGCTGGGAGCGAGATGATATACGGGGACTGTTGAGTTTTTTTATCTTCACAAGTTTCTTTATTTGTAATTTTTTTTTAATTCAATCATGTTTTTGTCCTTTTATTTTCTAAAATAAATAAACTTAGTTTTGATAGTTTTTATTTAACAGAAGACTAACGGAATTTTGGATTTGGACCTTAATTGCTAACAGAGCTCATCACAGGGGTTTAATTAATAGCTTTTTCACCACAAGGGTTACATTAAAAGTGGTGTGTCACCACAGGGACTACAAAAAAAATTTGGCCTTTTCTCTAATCAATCAATACAATATCGCTTGTTTTCTCTCTACCAATTCTTTATCTTCCTCTATACCAATCTTCATCTTTTGCAATGTAGTTAACATGGTATCAGAGCCTAGGCTCACGCCATGGATCTTGGTGGTCGATTCCTCTTCTATTTTTCTTCATTACTTTCTTTTGTTTCTGCGTATTTGATCATTTATGCTTCCGGATTCATAGTTCTTATTTTTTTGGTCTTTGGATTTTTCTTCCGAGGGTTTTGTGTTTAGTTTTGGGATTTTTCTGCTATGAAAAGATCCAAGCATTTCCATGGAGAAAAGGAATCAAGAATCTCAATTTTTCATCTGTGTTTCACCTCAAATTTTGACTGGGGCTTCGAGCTCGAGCAAATTAGGCTGCTGGAGAAAGATTTCCCTGGAAGCAACACAAAGCCGCTTGATCTCCGACTCCGAGAGCTGAACCTACTTCCCCAGCTTGGCTGTCGAACCTCCGTGAGCCGCTTGATTTTGTCGTCGAGCATGGCAGCGTCCATCGGTCCCTGTCCCTACGATGCCATTCGATTGGGTTCTCAGATCCTCCCTAGAATGACTCGGATATCTCCTCGAAAGAAACCCTAGAAATCCCAGAGAACAATCTTTCGGGTTTTCTTGAATCTGATTCTTAGTGTGGGCTGAATCCTCAGAGACCGATCTTTTGATGTCAGATTGGGTTTCAATGGAAGATAGCAGTTTCGGAATCAAAGGATTTATGGGGTTCCAAGTGCAAGATTTCTAGGTTTCATTAAGAGATTATGGAAAAGAGTTTCAGTTTTTTTTTCAGGGTTTTGAGTTTGGGTTGCTTCTTGGTTCTTGAAAATGGCAATGGACAGGGTTGCAATCTCGCTCAGACAAGGGTGTAGTCCATGTGTTTCTTGAAATGCCCAACTCAGAATTTTCATGTGAAGGATCTGCAGATTTTGGTATGGTTGTCTGCTTCTTCCTTCCATACTATTTCACTGAATTTGCACTGGATTTGGGTATGGTTCTTGAAGTTATTGGAGTCTAGTTGCTGTTCTTGGATTGGTGATGTTTTCTGACCCTAGGTGGGATGACGCCGGGTATGGAACCCAGGCCTATTTTGATTTGCCTTTGGATGTGTATGTTCAGCGAGAACTTGAGTCCCTGGCTCTGTTTTCTTGCAATTTTAATGCATCTTTGTTTGTGAATTTTGGTCTACTGAAGCACATTTCATTGGGTTGGATTAAGTTGCCGATTTTAGTTCAAGAAACTTTGTTAGCACAATGTAGGTTTCTTGAGAGCCTGAGTCTGAAGAAATGTCGGGGCATGAACTACCTCGATATTCGTGGGAAGAACTTCGAGTTAAAGCTAAAAACTTTGGTGGCGTGGTTAGAATCAGAGAGTTGTCAATTGGTTTGTCTCCATTTCCGATCTTGATGATGTTTTCCCCTAACTTGTTTGGTGCTTGAGTTGGAAATTCGAACGTCTGAAAAGTGGGTTGTTTGTCTGAAATTGCACAGTTTGAATATTTGGGGAAGTTCACGCTAAAAATCAGGTAAATTCGTCTTTGCTAATGATTCTGTAGTGTTTGGGAGTTTTGGTTAAGAATTTTGATGTGTTGATATCAGAAAGTGTCATTCTTTCTATGTATATCTTGGAGTGTCATTCTCTAGGATTTGAGTTTCTTAGTTAAAGATTGCGATTTGTAAATGCAAAGGCAGAAAGTGTCATTCTTTATGCGAGTATGGAGTGTCATTCTCTTTGGTTAATTTTGGTGTTAGTATTTGGGAAGATTTAGTAAGCTATCAGGAGTGTCATTCTCCTTGATTGATTTGGTTTCTTGGAGTGTCAGTCTCCTTAGTTGATTTGGTGCCAGTCAGTCTTAGTTAGTTCAGTTTAAATATAATATAATATATATATATATATATATATATTTTTTTTTTTTTTTGCTCAAACTCCTCTGTAGATGACAAAGACTTCAACAGATTAGGATTAGAAACTGTATTGTGCAGAGCATTTTTCAGCAGCAAAGCGAGCCTCATGGGTTGATCAATTGAGCTCTCAAGGATAAAAGCATGCTTCACATGGTCCTCCTACCAAATCCCAGGCTTCACCACAACCTTTGTCATGCATTCAAAACGTCATGCAGTTCCAGATCAGTTTCAGAGCTCTAACTGGTTCAAACTTCACTTGGCTACACCAAATTCAGTTTGAGGGGGGAGTATTAACAGAAATGACACATGGCATTATTCTAGTGGTTAAGTTTGTTAATATAGTTAGAAGAGTATTATTGTAATTGGGATATATGACTATATAAAGGATTGTATAGCTATCATTTCCTTAAGTTCAGTTGTATACATTTTCTCTAATCAATCAATACAATCTCTCTTGTTTTCTCTCTACCAATTCTTTCTCTTCCTCTGTACCAATCTTCATCTTTTGCAATGTAGTTAACACCATATACTGATGAAACTTTATCACTCAACTTTACAAGTCCATAACTGATGCAAATACGAGTGAACAAAACGGTTTGTAAATTACATATAACAAATTACACAAGCCACATATTTCGATAGTGGAGACGAATGGATTTCAGAACCAAAAAAGCAAAATAACCAAGTATGGCAACGAATCAACCAACAGTTATATTCTCACAGATATGCATCTCCACACATCTAGTTTCAAATAATCATATTAACATCTAGCTTCGACACCTTTTTATTAATACTTCACCTTGTAGAGAAGATGGGCTTCAATTTCCCTTTTCCCTTTAAATTTCTAAGCTGATGAGAGAAGAAGATGGCTTGGCTTTGACAGTGCAGGCAACCAAAACACCATATAGATCTCAAGAAGATGCAGTAACAGCAGGCTTGATTGGGTTGAATGCAACCTGCTCGGCACAAGTTAGCACTTTATGAGGTCCTGCCTCTTCTCGACCGACACCCATAAGGTCAAGGTAGTACTGGTAATGTGAAACGATGTTGTTCATGGCATCAATGTCACCCTGGCCACAAACTGATTCCCCATAAAGAAGATTCATTGTAGCACCAAATCCAGGAAACCGCTTAGCCAAAGTATCATTCTTGGTGGGCTTCCAGTCTCCAACAAATGCTTCGTGGGCTGAGGGTTGTGACTTCTTGATAGGGGTCATCCACCTCCATACTGCAGCCTGGAATGCAAGAGTAGCATTCTGCTCAATGAATTCTGGATGGTTCAACAGATCCACCTTCAAAGCTTCTCCAGCTGCACCGTAATTGTAGTTCCTAGATAGTAGAAAACCAATATAAAATTGGTAATATTGTCTTTTCAAAGAACTCAAACTACAACCTAAAAACTTCAGATGTCACTAGATTTGAGGAAAAACACAAATGTGACAAATATGTCTGACCTACTGTCTGGCCTACAAAACAACTCTATCTAGTTTCCGCCACAGGTAAATTTTCACTAGTTATCTTCTAGTTTGTGAACTTGCTAATGGCATAATGGCATTACATGAGTACACTAACAAATTAATCTCATCTAATGACAGCTCGCTCTACTTCACAACTCAACTGACATCCTTTTTGGTTAATTTATTTGCTAAAAGAAAGCACGGGAAAGGAAATCCACATTAACCAATGAAATAAATAAAAGGAATACGAACCAGTAGATTGGCAAAGCACCACGACCATAGTATTCAGCTCCAGGACTGCAGGGATATGTGTACTTGTAATAGTCATCGCAGTACGACTGCATGGGACTCATTTCCCTGTTGTAGCAAAGCCCCCACGCCGACGGTCCTCCTGTGGCCACACCGTAACCACCTGGAACAATCATCCCCATTAACGTCAACAAACTTAAGAACACTAGTGTACATACATGAATTTCAGAAACCTACACTTTTATTAAGCATGTTCTTTGTATTCACAACAATATCAAGTTTTAACAAAATCTACAAAGGATTACTCATTAAATAAACACTTTTAACACGTGGAAAATGCATGTGATAAACGAAATCCAATCTGATGTTTATTTTTTCGTCGAAAACAACATTGTTCATAAACCCAATTAACTCAAACTAAACAACTCCCCAAACAAATGAAATCAAATCCAATTCATTCGGCTCAATGTTCAACAATTTTAAGCATCCAACTAACAACATTACTAATTAGCAAAGCAAGAGCTACCCACCATTGCAATTCTATGCACAAACAAGTATGGTGACTTACAAGAGGTTTTGCTGCCGACATGTCCAAGAAAGGCGGCGACCTCCTTCATCTGCATAAGCTTCCCCCCGGTGGTCCCAAATCCAAGAGGCTCGAAAAGCGCCGCGGCGGTGATAAACGCCTGGTAATCCCAAAACCCAACGGCGTGCGCCACCGGCGTGTTCCTCTTGGAGAAGAGATTCTCAAACTGGTAAGTCTGGAAGAAATCGGAGATGGTGAGATTGCAGCAATACTTTGACCACCCTTTACACTCCCACCCTTTGTCGCACAGCTTCTTCCCCTTCACCGTCTTCACTTTGGCGACGGTGGACGAGTGATCGCCGTCGCTGCTGGCACCCAGGATTACACTCAGCGCCACCACCGCCAGCAATGCAGCAGCGTAAATCTGCATGCTTGGGTGTAGGAGAAGAAATGGGTTTGCTTCAGATCTTGGCAATTGGGAGTTAAGAGCGAGCTTTTCGTTTTGATGAGGTAAGCGTTCGACGGGGTGTCGCGTTCGGGACTGGGGTAGATGGGAGTGTTGGGGGTTAAATGGAGTGCAAGTTGGGGAGGGAGTGGACGGCAAATGACAAGGGTGATTGGATCGGGACATCTGGAAGGTGTTTGAGGTTTAGTGAAGGAACAGACTGGAATTATGTTGGAGGGGGATGACCCACGAAGCTCTACCGACAGCTGCTGAAGTAAGCCTAGCCATTCTTAACACGACTCGATAATTTAACATGATACGATACGAAATTAATATCTGTTTCGATCGATACGATAACGAATCGGATCATTATCAGGTAACCCGATAAGTATCTGTTAAGATAACGGGTTGGTTCTAGTACTGGTATACACGTAGGTAACACGATAAACAAAATTTTAATTTTATAACCCTAAAAAAATACTATAATAATTATATATATTAATTTAACAAAAATTATAATAATTATATATATATATATATATATAAATTAAATATTAAAAATTGGTGACCATTGGATTAGCTTAAATATAAATATCATTTAATTTCTTAAGTGTTATACGTACAAAATAAATAAATTTAAATCTACTTAATAAATATATATACCATTGAACTTGATGGGATACGAATTCTACGAAACTAATTTCAATGATCTAACTGTCAAATTTGTTTGTATATGCTTCGATATCGCATCAGCAAAAATTTGCAAAAAACAAACATTCAGAGATCAAGTAACAAAACAAAACATTTCGACGGTTATCAATGAAAAATCATGATTTAATGGTTATTTTAACTCCAATTTTGATGATTTTTTTACAGCTACACTCCTTGACCCTATATGAATACAATGAATAAACTCGATCTTCAATTTAAAATATTTACACTAGTGGATACCATAAAATCTTATGTTATACTTAATAAAAGTATGAGTAAACTCTTAAGTGTTAGTGAATCTATTGTTTTGATGGGATACGCATTCTTTGAAACTAGCTTTAACTACCCAACCGTCAAACATGTTTGTATATACTTCGAGATCGCATATGCCAAAAATTGCAAAAAACAAACATTCAGGGATCAAGTAACGGGACAAAACTTTTCAACGATTATAAAATGAAAAATCACGATTTAACGGTCATTTTAACTTCGATTTTGATGATTTTTTTACAACTACACTCCTTGTGTCACAGCCCGTCCCAAAATAAATTAGTGATGACGTGAGTTGACTATTTTATCCTTGGACGTGAGTGTTGTGGTGTGTGTTATGCTTGTTAGTGGTGGTCCAAACTTATGTTTTTCCTTAATTTTTGGACCAAATTAGAACTTAGTTTTTGTGGTTTTGGTTGGTGACCCACGTGGACCACTCACACACACACGCAAACTCTTCCTCTCTCTCTCTCTCGTGCAATCTCTCTCTCCTTCCTTATAGATTTTTTAGAAAATCCGTACAAAACGTACGAACAAACTCCAAGCTTTCCATTTCAGGCACGGATCGACATTAAAAAGGTAATGTTTTTGTTCCCTACAAGCTCCTCAGTCCATTCGTACTATTTTTAGAACTTGAAACCTTCAAAAAACCTAGTTTCTCTCGAACTCCGATTTAGGTACTATTCATGCAATCGTAAAATCACGTGTTTTTTGGGGATTTCAAGCTTATAGGTAGCTTAGGGAGGTCCTCACGAGGCTCGAAGTGGTTCGTTGGAAGAATTTGGACGTCGGATTATTGAGAACCATGAGTTTTAAGAATTGCCGGAATATCGAGTCTTTTTCTGTCAATTTTCCGGTGATTTCAGGGCTCGACTCAGGTATAGTTTTGTTCGTCTTGGTGAGATCTTCAAAATGGTTCAAGTTTCATGAAGTTTGGTGTTAAAACGAGAGATATAAGGTTTTGAAATTAAACCCAGAAACCGGCAAAATCAACAACGTCCGGAGACTCGTCGAAGAAGATGAAGGCATATTTCGTCAATTTTGATGGAATATGATAACGGTGTTAGATGACGCCGTTAATAATCAATGGTATATGCTTGTTTTTGGATGGAATATTCCTTAACACTGTTAGGGTTACCGTCAGTGTGCCTGGCACATGCCCGCGCATGGAAGGCGCGTCTGGCCGTGCCTTGGCCGGAGCGTGGGTGGTCGGAAATTTTTCTAAAAATATGGGGATGTTCGTGAGGTTGTGTAGATCACGTTGGTATATTCAAACATCCCATTTGAGCAATGTATGCGAAGTTATTAGCTAGTATTGGTTAGGTGCTTTAAATTAACCTTTTTATAGTTGTTTCGCATATAGGGGAGGCTTATCCCGAGGACAAGCGCAGTCAAGGGCGACTCGAGGGCTACGACGCTTTAACATACCAGTGAGTGGGCTTTTGTTTTTCAATATATACTTATATACTTGATATTTTCCCAGAAAATGCGTTTAAATGAAAGTATGCCTTGAAATGCAATGCATATAAATTTATATTCTGTATATGAACTGGTATATGATGCATATTATATAATTGTGGTCATGTGGACGCTCAGGTAAGCCCAAGTGAGTTATGAATTGTGATCGTGATTAAAGTTGTGATTGAGAAATATTGAGCTCATAAACCTGCACCTGGGGTGATTGTGATTTAGCCAGAAATATGGCACAGGCCTGTTTATAATGTCACCTCCCACCCCATATGCTCTCATTGGATCCAATTTAGGTGCACAGTCTTGTCGTACAGACCATCATAGGTGGTTCTGACTTGTAGGTGACTAGCGATTTATCGCCCAGCTATCATGAGAGCGTAGTATTGAGCATAATTATATTAGACCCAGTCTTGTCTTACAGACCCTTTTAGTGGTTCCCGACTTATGTGCAGTGTAGTGCCGTATAGGTCATTGTAGTGACTCCGGCTAGATTGAATAATGAGCTATGAATTCAGCCGTACAGACTTATGCAGGGGTTTCGACTAATATGTTGTCGTCCATGAATTTATTCTCACATGAGTTACTTATTCTATTTTATGTTTTGGCATGGCATACTTATGAATATGATTATGTGAAGCATGATTTGAATTGAGATATTTACATATATATATATATATATATATATATATATATATATATATATATAGAGCTTAAGGGGAGGGATCCCCATTTTTTGAAAAAAATGAGGATTAGGTGTGGGGCCCACTTCACATCTAATTTCAACGATCCGAACCGTCTATTTTGTTAGTCTCGATTCATAGATCATCCTTGCAAAATATTAGCTAAATTGGAAATGTTTAAGATATCTAATTGGGTTCAAGGAAATGAACGAATACTTTGTTATATAAGAAAATATGAAATTTGATATTGATAATTAAATAGGCAAATGGTTTCGGATTGAATTGAATTTTTGCAAGGATGATCTATGAATCGAGACTAACAAAATAGACGGTTTGGATCGTTGAAATTTGATGTGAAGTGGGCCCCACACCTAATCCCCATTTTTTTCAAAAAATGGGGATCCCTCCCCTTAAGCTCTCTGTATATATATATATATATATATATATATATATATATATATATATATATATATATGCATATGTTTATATTCTATTCTGGGAAAATTATACATGTTTTACAGCGGGGGGTTAGAGCATTTTAAATGATGAAATGGTTTTGAAAAACATTTGTTTTTGCCCACTCACATTTTCTGTTTTACGCCCCTCCAGGTTTTAGGTAGTCTTGCTGTTGGTGGCGTACGAGGATTTCGGCGGTACTGACATAATAAAATAATTGTAGGACATTTTCTGGTACTATATAACTAGTACTTGTCCTACTGGACTGCACCTAGACTTTCTATGCTCTGATTAGGAGTATTTACACTTGTATCTCACTCCTAGCACTTTCTGTTTATTAGTGCACAATAGTAGTTTTCGGTTTTTATTTATTTGTATAATTCTTATCTTTATTGATTCTACACTGTGCACATGGCTATGTCACCTTCACGTGACGACCAGCATGCCTCGATCTTGGTCGGGGTGTGTCAGTTTGGTATCAGAGCCTAGGTTAGCTGTCCTGTATATCTAGTGAATGATCTAATCCTTGTGATGTCTTCTATCAGAACTTCGTAGAGAGCCACGTCACTCAGCTGAGCCTAGTTTCCCTGATATTGCTCAATTAGGGGAAGCTATAGTTAATGCCATTCAGTCTTCGTTCCGTCCACCTTAAAGGACACCCCTTGAGACTGTGCATAACCTGAAGCTGACTCATTTCATGGGAAATGAAGGACATGAGGGAACGGAGAAGTGGCTTAATCATGTTGAGAAGACTTTCCTTGTGATGCAGAGTCGGGGGAATCTTCCTCCTGATATGTCGGTCGAGACAACTACCTGGTTTTTAGGTTCGGAGCTTGTATCCTAGTGGAGACATGAGTCATATCAGATGCCACCAGAATTTGTTGCCGATTGGGAAGTGTTTAAACAGTTGTTTCGGAAACGGTTTATTCCCCCTGAGTATATTGACGTCAGAAACAAAAATTTACGCATCTGAAACAAGGAAAGATGTCAGCGAATGAGTATTACAGGTAGTTCACTGATTTGTCTCGATATGATCCGGAGGTTGTTGCTAATTCGGTCGAGATGCTCCGTCACTTCAGGTTGGGTACTAAGAAGAAATGGCGTTCTATAGCGCCATCGACTCCCTATGCCACTTACCAAAAGTTTTATAAGGTTTTACTGCGGATTGAGGACTCAGAGAACATGCCCAGTGAAAGTGAAGATGAAGAAGAAAAGAATGGGAACAGAGGCAAGATAATAAAGGTAAAGGTCAAGCATCTCAGGGACCTCGTAAGACCCAGAGCTTTAGAAGCGGTGGCAGTTCCAGCTCTTCTAGTGGAGGTTTGAGCTCTAATATGCAAATCAGAGGGGGTAGATTTTCTAGAGGTCAGAGATTTTAGAGGCAAAGGGACTTTGGTGGTTCAGGTGGATCGAGTGCTCCTTGATGCCGCAAGTGTAATAATAGGCTTTTTGCGGAGTGTAGGAGAGATAGCAGTGCATGTTATACTTGTGGACAGATGGGGCATAAGGTTGCTCATTGCCCTCAGAATCAGTAGAGGCCGCAACATCATCCCTTACCACCGTCTGCACCGATCCAGCAAGCTTCAGGATCTAATGGTTATGCCAAGACGGGACGAAGAGGTGCTTA